ATATATGTATGTATGTATGTATGTATGTATGTATATAAATAAATAAAGGAATTTACACCCTTCCCACACTCTTGCAATATTGTAAAGAACGTTTCGAAACTCTAAACGCTCTAAAAGAGCACAGCATGTCATGATTTCAGCTCTCTGTTTTGGCTGTACTCTCGGCCACGCCCACTTCTCCGCTCTGCACGGAGATCAGCTGATCAGCTGCAGGAGGAATCTTCTCCCACAGCTGAGGGCTGCACACAGGTGCTAAATAATTTAAAATAATTTATTTCAAATAAAAAGTCCATGCTGATTGTGCGGCTCATCCATCAATCAGCCATTGTGTGTCATGTCCAATCTTACTTTGAAAAACCACGATAGAGTGAGATAAAAAAAAAAAAAAAACGTGAAGTAGCGAGGGACTACTGTAATCCAGTTTCCTCCCACAGACCAAAAACATGCTAGTTAGGTTTGTCTCTATGTGTCCCTGTGCTGGACTGGAGACCTGTCCAGGGTGTCCCCCGCCTCCGGCCCAGTGACTGCTGGATATGGGCGCCTCTGGCCCAGTGACTGCTGGATATGGGCACCAGTGACCCCCGCAACCCGAAAAGGAAGAAGTGGGTAAAGATAATGGATGGATGTATAATTACCAACTGAACCCAGTGTTGTTGTAAATAGCTGCTGCCAGAGACTCTCCACTAGTTTGTGTTGCATGTTTGCCTCTCAGAGTTTAGGAGTTTAAACATTTCTAAAAAATAAAACCAAAAATCATAATTTCTTTCTTTAACCTGAACTTGTACTGAACAGGGACTTACTTGTACCGTTACACCCCTAAATAATAAGAGATAAAAACATTGTATTTTTTAAACTCGGCGAGAGAGAATATGAAGAGAAGAAGAGACAGGTGAAAGTTGAAGCGCATCAGTAACGCCCATTTTTCTTTTTCCCATCAGGAGACAAGCGTCTGTCAGATCTGTCTTATGACGGAGGTTCTGGAGAACTGATTCAGCCCCACGTGATCGACCAGGCCATTAACAGCGCCATAAGCTACTTGGGGGCTGAATCGCTCCGGCCTTTGGTCCAAACCTCCCCGGCCTCTTCCTCCGATGTTGGTCTTACCTCAATGTACCCCCTCCACAAACCGGCCACAGAAAGCCTCTCTGGTACCGGTTTGTCAGCCAAAGACAGTGCAGCTGAGAACCTGCTCCTGCTCTCCAACTCCAAGTCCGCCTCCAGTGAGAAGGACGGCTCGCCCAGCCACAGTGGCCAGGACTCTACGGACACCGAGAGCAACAATGAGGATCGACCGGGTGCAGCGGCCGCCGGCCTCATCTACCTGACCAACCACATCACCTCGGGGATGAGGAACGGCGTGCTGCCTCTGGTGAAGGAGGAGCAGCAGAGGCAGTACGACACCATCCGGGCCAGCATAGAGATGGCCTCTGAGGGTTTCAAGGTGGTGACGTCGGACGGGGAGCAGGTAAGGGCGTACCGCTGCGAACACTGCCGCGTGCTCTTCCTGGACCACGTCATGTACACCATCCACATGGGCTGCCACGGCTTCAGAGACCCCTTTGAGTGCAACCTCTGCGGTCACCGGAGTCAAGATCGATACGAGTTTTCCTCTCACATCACCCGAGGAGAGCATCGTTACTAAAGGTGGCGTCTCACTGGAGAGCAACTGTTGGAGACTAGTTGGCAACTCAAAATTTCATAAGAATTTAACAAAGTTTCTGTTGCAGTCTCACTGAATTCTGAGTTTGCAAATAAGCGACCAACAAGCTGTGTGGCAGCGTCAAGTGCCCAGTTTTTAAAAATCACAACCTGTTTCTGTGTGCACTGATTGCAAAACTGTATTCTAGGCTGCGCACATTATTTCATTGTCCATCTCCGCCCACTTCATACCACCATTAGCCCACTTCATACCACCATTAGCCCACTTCAAACCACTATTAGCCCACATCATACCACCATTAGCCCACTTCGTACCACCCTTAGCCCACTTCATACCACCATTAGCCCACTTCATACCACCATTAGCCCACTTCAAACCACCCTTAGCCTACTTCAAACCACCATTAGCCCACTTCGTACCACCATTAGCCCACTTCGTACCACACTTAGCCTACTTCGTACCACCCTTAGCCTACTTCATACTACCATTAGCCCACTTCATACCACCATTAGCCCACTTCATACCACCAT